CACATCGTTGTTTATCCCAGTAACAGGGATCGACGCTTCTCTAACCGCCAAAATTTCTAAGTCACCCGGAACGCCACTGTCTGCCTACGCAGATGCAAAAAAAAATATTAAACTAAAACTAGCATTAATGCTAATGCTGGGATTTATTCCAGCACACTCCCTGCCCACAAATCCAGTACAGTAAAGGGGGGATGCAGGAGGCCTGATCATTTGCCGCTCATCAGCAGGATGAGCTCGGTGATGGGGCATAGGAAGGATCAAAAGTTTCCCGGGGTGCCGATGCGGATTGTGGCTGTTCGTACCCAAACGGATGACTTCCGAGGCTGGGAAGGCTTGTGGGTTGTTGTTGGTAGTGGGTTCCAAGTGAAGTTTCTTGCTGGCCTGGGAGCACAGGTGTGTTGAATTGGGGTGCATGAGTAGAATGGTGTTGGATTGTGTAGAGAGATGTTGTCAAATGGGCAGTGGTGGGTCCACCACTGCCTATGGGGTTCAAGCCAGGTTGATTCAGATCGTTTTCCTGCATTGAGAGCTCAGCAAGCTCATCAATGTAAGACTGGGTTTGTGAGGCTCTGTTTTCAGTAGGCAAGACCTTGAGGTTCAGGTTGTCCGAAAATTGGGCTGGAGCAGGAACTAAATCCAAGTCAGGCTCGGAAGCAGAAACTTGAGATTTGGAAGACGTTTCAGTAGTATCGGTGATTGATACCTGGGAGGTATCTTTGGGGTCCATGTCTCCCTCCAGTTCGCGGAGAAGAGAGAGACATTCATTGACTTCCTCCTTGAAGGCAAGTCGTTCAGTCCTCAAACCCTTTGATCGTTCCATGTGCCCTGTGTCTTTGAACCTTTTAGTCAAGGTCATTGCCTTCAATTTATAGTACTTGAAGGTGTCCTTTATTGCTTCAGTGACTTCTGTCACTTCCTGGGGTTCCATGTTGTCCAAAACTTTGTCCAGTAACCCCAGCAGGGTTGTTCAAGCAGACCAGCTGTGTCAACCTGCTCTTCCAGAAGATGCGTAGATGGTGCATGGCACCTCCTTGCCTCATTTTCCATGTTAGACATGATTTTCCAGGTGCCAGTATTTAGGTGTAAATAAGTCACTAGATTGCTTTAATTGCAGATTCACCAGAAATTTAAAAGCAAAGAAAACACCACAAAACTTTTACTAGAAAATCTCTGATCCATTGGAGTACGTTTCCCTCAATTCCCAAAGACTGCACTTTACGTAACAGCCGTTCATGCGGAACACTGTCAAATGCCTTGGCAAAATCGAGGTACAATGCATCCACTGGTTCCCTTTCGTCCAGCAGGCGAGTCCACTCGTTCAACGTAGATAATAAGTTAGTAGTGCAGGATCTACCGGCAATAAAACCATGTTGACAATCTGATATGAGATGGTGATCAGTCAAGTGATCGGTAATCCTATCCCTCACAACAGATTCCATTAGCTTACAAACAACACTTGTCAGACTGACAGGGCGATAGTTGCCGGGGCTGCTTTTGTCGCCTTTTTTGAACAACGGTGTTACTTGAGCTTCTTTCCAGTAGGACGGCAAAGTTCCTTCGTTCAAGGTTTTTTGAAAGAATACTGTCAATGGGCCGGCCAGAACGGTTGCTAATCCTTTGAGCAATCTGAGATGGAAGCCGTCTGGTCCACATGACTTGTTGGGATTTTGAGCTACCAGGCGCTTGAGAACCTCTTCTTCGTGTATTTCAAAACCTGTTAGCTTCGAGCTGACTGGGCGCTCCTCAATATCTTAGTTTCAGTAGAATTTTAAAACGAGGGGGATTAAAATGTACAGTCGTAATATAAGCAATTGTCCTGAGCTCATGTGACCTGAAATGGGGCTAGCTCCAGCAGTCAGGGAGCAATGGAGCGACATCCTCAAGACGTGGGCGGCGAGGCAGCGACGTGGGCGGCGAGGCAGCGACGTGGGCGGCGAGGCAGCGACGTGTCCTCCAGACGGCGACTACGAGATGAGCCGTCCGCAAAAGTTGCGAGGTGGCGTTAAGGGAACGGTTGGCAATGTGGCAGATGTAATCTACTACTTGTATAGAGTTAGTATTGCCCAAGATAAGATAGTCCTGCTACGCCAGACTTTTAAATGTAGCCAGATGCAAAATGCCATAATTGTTTGCGGCGAAAACCACTATATACAGGCTGAAACTGACGAATAAACCGTTTTGAAGCCATTTTTTGACCCAGCAGCGGTAGGGGAGGCTTCGATGTATTGGGAGCCACTTTATAATCTGGCCGGGTGGGCAAAGGAGAAAGACAGAGTGGTAGGAGGAGCATTTGTCTCTAGGTCTAGCCAGCTAAGGTAGATGAATAATCTGGGGCCAGGGCAGATGGATGGGAAGAAATTCTTCAGGACGCCGGGGGAATGTGTTATATTGCGATCGCAGCCAGGTTGCGGGCTTGCGGCCAGCCGCGCACGAGGTGGTGCAGTGACCACCTCTAGTGCAGTCTCAACGGCACTCATGCAGGTGGGGCGAATGGGTTCGTAAAATTAACTAACGAACGAGCCGTTCCAGGAGCGGAAGAGGGATGAAAAGGCAGAAGAGAGTTCAGCATTGGTAGGTGGCTGATATCCACAGTGGTATGCGAGGCCGCCCAGGCTATTTCAAGAACGGTGATGTCTAGTGAATAAGAAGGCCCGCGGGAGAAGAGCCCTCGTTGGCGACACAGAAGGTGGAGGCAGAAATGAATTTGTCATGAATTCATGATTAGAACCGCAGCTGCAGCTCTCTGAAAGATTACCATTATACGTGGTAGAAGTTAGAATCCATCGCACTTAGGTAGTCCTTTACTCAAAAGGGCTACCTAATAATAGAAAGAGACGCAATATGCCGACTAGTGTTACTCATATTAAGTAGTCTATTACGGATGGCTCACTCGTAAGTTCCACAGCCTCACAGGCATATCTTTTGCGCCCAACGTTCATGATCCATTCTTTCCAGTCGGACTTTAAATCTCAATGCTGCTTCCATTCTTCTCTCTCTAAACGTGCTCTATCCTGTATGTACCGAGGTTTAAGCCTAACGCTTTGCTACGCGTTGACGTGACCGCGACACGTAGTTGTCTTAGGAGGTCGTGGCGCGTCAATCGGCCTCTTCTTGTGTCAACCTCCTACTGAAATACATGTGCGTGTCCCTGATCGTGTTTCACTGACTCGAAGACTGATACACCGTATCGCCTCTCAAAGCCTCTACAGCAGTCCATCTGGGGGCCCCAAGAAACAGGCTAGCTATCCAATTCTATACAACCTCTAATTTATCCAGTTCCTCCCAGCTGCCACACTCTTTCCAGTTTCCACATCTTTGGCTGTTCCATTAACTACTAGCACCTGGTACTTCTCGCGGCTAAAGCGCACATTAAAATCCATGCCATACTCAATTATGCAGTAGCGTACTCTGAATTTCAACCCTAATTTCACTCATCATTCCCGTCTCATCAGCATTAAGTGCGACAAAGTCTGAGAGCGAGGTATTCGCGACCATCGTGTGAAATCCTCGTTGGTTCAGAGAAGTGGCAGTTCGGTCTGTCGCCACCCTCGAGCTTGCAGTCTTTGTAACATGATTTCCTCACCAGCCCCTTTTTGCGGCAACTGGTAGCTTTCAGGTGGCCGAGGAATGGCCAGCGGTCGGCTAGAACTAATTGGCCTCGGCCGACCGTTGTTTACGTATTATTCCTCGCCTCTCATTGAGTTGCCCTTCTACGTACCGCCCGTCGTGGACTAACTGGAGAGTATTTACGACGTCTGTATCCCCTCATACCTTACACGATGCCTGCATTTGAACAGTTAGTATACGGGATTTTCCCCCCACATTAGAGTATGCTCGTATATAACTAATTTATGGTGAGAAATATCTTTAAAATAGAGGTGGATTCAGATATATATTCAATACCAATCAGTGGAGAATAAATGAATAGTTATACTTCCTCAAGTCTCACAAATTTTCGGTAAGTCGCATGTAAAATGAACACTGATGAACAAAATTTTCCTTTGTCACAACTGAGGTTATACAAAGTTTACATACTTTTTGGTGCTGGCAATGAAATTGCAAAAAAATACATGAATAATTATGTAAAAATTTAGATTGATATTTCATTTACGAGCAGAGTTATAACGAAACAACGAATAGAATCCCATTTGCACCAGCCGAGCCTGCCTGAGGGCTCGCGGTTCTCAACCTGAGCCTTAAGTAGCATTTTTAGTCTTTAATTTAAAACATGCACTCCCACATCTATTCTTCTCAGTCTAGCAGCCATCTCTTCAGTGTGGAAGCTGTAGAGAAGCGGCGACAAGATACATCCTTGTCGAACACCTCTCTTACTTTAAAGTGATGTCGGCGCTGAAGTGTAGGCCTGATGTGGCCTATCACCGATTGTTTTACTTTTCGTGCGTTGTTCACAGAAGATCTAAAATCGTGTAATTTGACTGGATCTTTGTAATTTGACTGACGATTGTTTGAAATAGCTTCTAGAGTCCCACCGGGTTCGATATGGTGCTAGGCATTTCGGCTGCTCTTCACCCAGCCTGTCAGTAGTTAATAATGAAACTGCTCATATTAAGAAAAAACAGTTAACTGTCTGGATGACCATAAAACATTGAGAAGAGCTGATAAGAAAATAGTTACGAGGTCCATCACTTCGCTAATGCACAAGTCTTCAACCCAATCATTAAAAAAACTTCGCCAATTGTAATGTGCGTAGGAGTTGGTATAGTTATACATGACACTATTTTGTCTGTTTGTCAATCTTAATTGAGAACAACACGGACGATAACATCTGACAATGCTATAACAAATTTTCAGGTCACTAAAATAGCATTTATTCAATTAACTTGGCGGTAAATAAAAAATCTGACAACGAAGGCCACGCTCTAACGTCCAACAGTAACTAATACAAGCTTGGGTATCAAACTCTATCTCAACTCTCAATGTATTCCTTCATAACTCTATCGGTAAGGGTTATGTGTGGTTCAGTTGTGTATAATGAGGCAATATTTCGCAGTGAGTTGCAACTTGCAAGCCACCACCGTTAGATTGTTTACCTGGTGAAATTTTCTGAATCTGCATAGACATCGTGAAAACAGCTGAGAATATTCAAATTATCTATCATCTCCTTCCGAACTTGTCGGTCAGTTCGTGACTTGAATTCGTGACTGCTCTTGCTCTCGTACTTAGCAACATGGCGAAGGTTGAGGAAAAGGGCAAGATTCCCAACGGAATTAAATTCTTGTTTGGAGGATTGGCTGGGTGAGTATTTTGCTGTATTATTTTTCACAGATAAAATATTTTAATATACCTGAAACCTGACAGTCGCTATAACTTAGGTTAGTTTTGTTACTTTGTAATAATTGTAGGCGCTTCTTAAGTTCTTACCTAACTATATCAATAATTTTTTTGAAAAGTAATTTTAACGACTCGCATAGTTGTTCAATGGGTTAACAAATTCAAGTTTTCATTACAGAGATGAGTATATTACTTTCCCGTTTTGTTATTGCTAACCTAATTTACATGTTATGCAAACATTTTGCACTTTGCAGTTGGATTACTGGGCGAAGTGGCTCTGAGCCTCTGGCAGACTGGCAAACTGTAGCCTAATTTAAAAAGTTTTAACCAATATGCATCATCATTAATTATAAATTATGGTTGCAAGATTGAAAATTATTACATATTACTGAAATTTTACAGCTTGATTATGATTTTTTGTTAGCAATTAGGATTAGGTAGATACTAGATAGTATTCAATTTATCTAGCAGGAGTATTGCTAGTTCTGCAAAAATGGTAAGAAACCTCTGTAGCTATGGCTTTAGTATGGAGATTGGAGACTGGAGTGAGCTGTCATCATCACTCAATACCATTAACTTCATGACAAGACCTTTGTTGCTGGCCTTCAAGATAGGGCCACTATTTTGTATGACTTAAAAAAGTTTCTTAATTATTTTATGGCAATCAAATCCTTCTAATCATAATTTCTGACTTATTTACTAGGGTTTTTATTGACCAGAAGCAAGCTAAGTGCAGTATCTGCTGAGTGGCAAATTGCATGTCATTGATATTAGATATAATTCATGCCTGCATGTATGCAGTATGCTTAATATCGAAACCACTTAAAATGTTATAGCACTTATGTTGCCAGCATAGTGTCATACCACGGATTTTTTAGAATCAGTTCATTTTTAATTTCCTCATTTACTCACAATTTAAACCAATTTCTTATGCATGATAATGCAGGTATCCAGGATATACTTTACTGCAGGGTTGGCGATTTTTTTTATTTTTTTTTTAAATCAAAAATCAATGATTTTTTTGATTTTTTCATGATTTTTTTTATTTATTTGATTTTTTTGATTTTTTCAACTTTTTTGTCTTTTTGATGTGTTATTTTTTATGTTGCAATTTGCCTACTAACAATAACAGTATATTGATCATAATGGATGGCTAAAAAGGGCACTTATTGCCTTCAATAATGGCCAACAGGCCAAGGTTGTGTTTACCACTTAGGGATTTTTGGGTAAACAATTATTGATAAGTCTATTCATTAGCTTTGTAAAGTTTGTATGGAGCAAGGTAATAAGCTAAATATTGACCATTTAACTGGCTTCAATATACAAAAACACTTCAGGAATGCAGATCTTCTAAACATTGAAAAGTCACATAACAGTACGTAACAGATAGGTAGCTGATAGCACAGTGCACAGCACTATCAATAGATGCACTAGTTTTATGTCCTAAAAATCTACCAGACTCTACCCTCTATACACACCGACTAGTAGTGACTGTAGCTGATAGCACAGTGCACAACACTATCAATAGATCCACTAGTTTTATGTCCTAAAAATCTACCAGACTCTACCCTCTATACACACCGACTAGTAGTGACTGTAGATGGTAGCACAGTGCACAGCACTATCAATAGATCTATGTACTAGTTTTATGTCCTATAAATCTACCAGACTCTACCTCTATACACTCCAACTAGTAGTGACTGAGTGACTGACTGCACTGTTCCCATTTAATTCAGACCAATAAACCAATACTAAATTTACACTGAACGATAACCAAACAAACCTCATACGACTTGAAACAAGACTTAAGTTATGAGAAAATCTAATACTGTTTGAAATAAACATGTGCATAATTCAAACATTTTATATCCATTCACTGCATTTATTTATTTTATATATAGTCTTATAATTGTAATTGTTTTGTTTCTAGTTTTAAATTCACATATTTAAAGATTGAAATTAAATATTTTATTTAGAATACTCGTATTAGGGTGGTAAATCTTTCTAATTGCCTAAAAGGTCAATACAATCTCAACCTCTCAATATACAGGGTGGGGGAGAACCAATTGAGCAGTTTTGAGGTAAAATAAAAGAATAATGGAGGTCAGGGTGGAATTCTAGAAATGGAGGTTCACTTATAAAAAAGCTTTCCACCCAAGGTGGAATGCTTTCCTTAGATACAGTGCTCTGCCAGGTGGCGGAGGATCAAAAGAGGAGGATTCAATGAAGAGGAGGATCAAAAGTGGACAAACTGTTTCAGTTGTATAGTACCTCAGATTTGTTATAAAATTGTTTGAATGTCTCTTGTTTGATAGATATTCTCTATTTTTCTTTTATTTAATGGATTTTTTGAAAATTTTCCAGGCTTTTTGTTTGTAATGATCAAGTTTAAGTTAAGTATTTAGTTAGCCAGTACTGTAGAACATATACCATATTTGGGGGCGGGGCTTATGGGCACAACCAATCACAGCTGGAAAGCATCCCCATCAACCAATCACAGCTTGAAAGCATCCCCAGCAACCAATCACAGCTGGAAAGCATCCCCATCAACCAATCACAGCTTGAAAGCATCCCCAGCAACCAATCACAGCTAGAAAGCAGATAACATTACAACTCCATTAACCAATCACAGCTGGAAAGCTGGAAGGGGTTAAAATCACAATCCCATAAACCAATCACAGTTGAAAAGTGATAGGATATGTATAATGTATATAATAAAATGGACTGGAAGTGGAAAGTTCCTGGACTTTCCAACCTTTCAGGTCCTGCTTTCCAATATGCTATGTGTACTGGTTAATTTAATATCCCTCTAGAATTCCACACTGATGGAGGTACATAAATAAAAAAGTTTATTTTCCTAGAAGTTAGCATAACATACCATTTAGAATACTTATGTTTTGAAAACAATATCTGGAAGATGGGGGCTATTAGCTGCAACACACTGTTGGAGTCGTTTTCGGAGGAGGGAGTAACCGTGATCGCGAATTCCGATCGCTATGCTGCAATGTTGCAAAATTTCTTGCAGCCCATGATAGAAAACATTGTTGAAAATGAAGCATTGCAAGACGTGTGATTCCAGCAGGATGGGGCTACAGCTCACACAGCCCAAATGTCACCCAATGTTTTGAAACGCATGTTTCCCGGACGTCTGGTGTTTCTGAGGGGTGATTTACACTGGCCTGTGATGTCACTTGATTTGAGCATTTGTGATTTCTTTTTTTTGGAGACATCTAAAAGAGAAGTTCAGAAGTTGCCCTCACACCCTACCACAGCAAAGGGGATGGATTATTGCAGCAGAGGTTATGGCCATCCTTGCCATATGTGTGAACGTGCTGTAGGAAACTTCCGAGAACAACTCCAACAGCGTGATGCAGCTAACAAACCCCATTTTCCTGATATTGTTTGCAAAACATAAGTATTTTAAATGGTATGTTATGCTAATCTTGAGGTAAATAAACTTTTTTCTTTATGTACCACCATTACTCTTTTATTTTGCCCCACAACTGTTCAATAAGTGCTGCCCCACCCTGTATAAGCTAGCTAACACATTTAAATTGTATATTGTAATCAATATATAACAAATAGTCAAATAGTTAAAGACTAGTACTTATAGCCTTATAAGAATTAGCTAAGCTGCTAGCTACGTACAATGTATTGCACACTTGATGCCTCTGTACCAAAAACATTCAATTTATTGGAACCTAATACACACTAAAGGCAACAAGTTTATATGCCAATTTGTCATTTATAGTACATTTATACTAAACCATGAATAACAATACCTCAATATAAATTAAAGACTGCCACTCAATATATTTAAATATATGAAAAAATCAAAAAAATCGAAAAAATAGAAAAAATCATGATTTTTTATAAAAAAATCAAGTGATTTAATCATTTTGATTTAATCATTGCCAACCCTGCTTTACTGGTCTACATATAGGACTCAAAAATGAACTTGAGGGAGAGTCTAAAAAACTCTGTGCTTTGCCACCATGGTTGCCAGCCCTAAATTCTGTCACTTGTAATGATAAATTTTATGAATAAATTAAAAATTTAGCCACAACATTCTGTTGAAATTGAAACCAATTCAGAATTTTTATCATAGAAATTGAAATCAAACTTAAAATATAAATTTAAATTTGAATTTGAAAAATTTAGTTTTTATAGGAATTGAAATCAAGTTAATTTTGAGAAATGGCTGGCATAGTAAAGCCAGGATTTTTTTGGACTCTTCTAGTTTGAGTCATATGAGAAGACCAGTAGAGCATGATGGTTACTATCATTATCATGCATTGATATCGAGTAAAGAAAATTAATTAGAATTTCTCATTTGATACTTTGGCAGCGAGTTAATTACAGAGTCTGCTAAGTAGTGACTTTTGTCATTGAAGGTATTCATTTTGTTGAGAGAGCTGCCTATTCATTTCTTTGGGAGAAATGAAAATTCCTATCCAATGCCTGAAAGTCTTTTAGACTGGTACAGTATATATTTAATTGATTGCTATCAGACCTGAAATTTTACATATACCAATTTCAAGTCAAATGACGTGAAGAAATTAACTATTACATTGCAATTTATTGGTATGTTGATTTATGATATTTTCAGAATGGGAGCCACGTGTTTTGTTCAACCTCTGGACCTGGTAAAGAACAGGATGCAGGTGGCCACTAGCAAAGAGCACAAGACCAGCCTTCATGTTATCAAACACATAGTCAAGACTGAGGGAGCCATGGCCATGTATTCAGGACTCTCTGCTGGACTGCTCAGACAAGCCACTTATACCACTACACGTCTTGGAATCTATACATGGCTTTTTGAAAAAGCATCAGGGTCTGTATCAATCAATTGGTGCATTTTTAAGGTTTTCTTCTAGTTATGGCGTGTTGAATTTAAGTGCAAAATATAACCTTGAAAAGTTTTATGGCTGAGGAACAACATGACAGCAATGCAGACTTCTTATTTTTTTATTAAAGAAATAGGGAGAAAAACTTGATGATTCAAAATTTTTGCCTGTCTAGAATGCTAATTGGTGATGCTCAATCTTGAGGAAGGCTACTGTATTTATTATAGCTACCATTTTTAAGAAAAGATATTGCCTCCATTAAGAATCTGAGATAAGGAATTAAATCTTTGGACAAATTGTTGATTAATTGAATGTTTTCTTCATTTTTTGGTACCGGTATGGAATTTATGATGTTAGAATCTGTGTGAAAATTTTGAACACTTGAAAGTCAATGCTGTTGATAATTTCAGCTCTAGTAAATAATTATTATTATTCTCACCTACTGCAATTTTAACTGTTGTGAAAGTATGTAATTCATTTAAATTGTACACATCCATTTTAAATTAAATTTAATTTAAATTTTAAACATTTTTAATTTTAATTAATTAAATTGTACATTACATTTTAATTAATGAAAATATAAATTGTTTATATGTGCTTAACTTAAACTTTGTGAGAAATATCTAAAGTGTATAATGTTTTTTGTGAATAATTATCATATCAAATGCATTGAAACTTGTCTCTTTTTCTTGGAGGTCGATGACGTAACAATGATGAAAATTATTTTTTCTATGCCCTTGAGACCTATTCATACCTTTTCTTGCAGGCCTTCTGGAGAGCCTCCAAATTTTGTCACAAAGGCTGGCCTAGGCATGGTGGCAGGTGTTGTTGGCTCATTTGTTGGCACCCCAGCTGAAGTGAGATTTTTTACAATTTTTTCAGGAGACTTGATTTTTTTAATTCATATAATTTTGTTTATATAATCAAATTATCTTTTCACTTCAATCTACAACAGAAATGACCTATTTGAGGAGTAATTTTCAATGTGAATGGAAAATTATGTGCTTTCCATCATTTTTACAACACTTCTCTTTAACTTCACTTCTTGTTGTTTGTTTGTTTGTCTGCATCAAATCTTATAATCGATATTTAACACACTTCTACCTCTCCAATCGATCTGAAATTTTGCACACTTGCTTAAAGTTGGAGACAATGCATGAACCAATTGACAGAATAAATAATTTAACCCTTTCACGGGTAAGTTACCATATATGATCACTTTAAATCGCGTCTCAAAAAGCCTCACCACGGCTTCCTGTTTGTTTTTGAGGCATCCTTATAATGCCTGAGCCAATCACTAATTATCTGACCATCGTTCTATCTATAGCATCACCAGCTGCAAAGTCCACAAATTGAAATATGAGCATTTAAATAAAGGTTTTGACTAGGAAAATGGAATTGACGCTCTTTCCGCATTTTCTTCAAAAGGTGGAAGTGTCAATATATACTGATATAAGAGTCTGACAGTTCAGTGTACTGTGACAGTTCAGAGTACTCGGAGAGTAGTAGTGGGTCACGCTTGTTATGGTCGGTGGGAGCACGTGCCACGTTTTGCTGGTTTTAGCTTGAAAGTAAACGAAAGAGAAGTAAATGAAAGAGACATGAGTGAAAAGTGATTAAAAGTGAGAAGTGATTAAAAGAAAATAAGAAATTGTGTGATTTTGGACTTTGGTGGACGTGGTTGGTCATGAATAACTGACTAAATTGTGTGACTACTGACTACGGCCATATGTATACCTACTTGGCAACTGCAAGTCTGCAATCTGCATAATTGTAATTGTCACCTGTCCCATGCAGAAACTACCTAGTAACCTTTCTTTCACTAGCCTCTTGCTGTCCTTTTTTCACTACTATGATGTAGGCTTACCTACTCTCCTACATTGGTTTGCACTTTATCCCAGTCCCAATAATAACAAAGTAACCATGTGAAACAAATCAAGCAACAATACCTAGTACCTAATGTAAATATTTCCCCTTTGTTGTCACCCTGCCCCCTAACCAAAGATAGCTTATTCAAAGTGTATTGTTTGTTCTGTTCTCTCTGTGTTGGCTGTTGCTGTTGTTTCTTTCTGTTTCATCCGAGAAAAATTCAGAACTGATAGGTTAGGCAGAATATATTTTTCCCTCCAATATTGGTGGTGTGTGTGAGTTGCTGTATAAGAAGGCACATTGCTGTATAAAACCAACAACAATTCAATAATGGGCAAACAAATGCCAGCCAAAAAGCGGGTGGTTAGCAATGAGAATAGCGAGATCAAAGCTGACCAAGTGGAGTGCTCCAGGTGCAAAACCTGGTACTCCACACAAACCCTTGGAATTGACCACTGGTCAAACTCAAAAATAAAGCAATCATACATTGCCTGTAGAAAGTGCATACTGGCTCTTAGAGATGAAAATAGTATGCTTAAGAAAAGAGTCTCAGAGTTGGAAGAGATCATTAATAAAGCTAATCAGGCTGAGACAGCAAACCTGCCTGGCCCTTCCACTGCCAATAAGGCTGAACTAGAAGCTGAAATAGAGGAGGGCACTATCAATGAAGTTGGCACTACAGAGTATGCTAATAAAATTAAGACTAGTCAAAAGCCAAAACAGACCAGCATCCCTAAAGTCTGTGGCACTGACATAGATGGAATGGCTGCCTATAAACGATAATCTCAGAATAGAATAGCTAAGCCTCCCATTGTCATGGTGGGGGACAGTATAATTGGATCCCTTAGGGGAAAAGTAAGTGTAAATGAGGCTGGGAGTGAGATTGTATGCTTGAGTGGAGCAGATATTGTCAAAATTAAAGGTCCCCAACAAACATTGAGAATCTTAAGGTGGTGTGCCAAGAAGAATGGTATAAAATACCAGTCAGCATCTGCAAATCATTGGTCGAGACGTATAAAAATAGACTGGTGTCTGTTGAGCTGAATAAAGGGTATTCAACCAAGTATTAAATTAAAATAATGCTGATTTATTGTTTGTACGAATACTTTTTTCACCCCGAAAAGTGAACATGTTGCATTGTTTTTTGTTGCATTGAGATTTAATTTCTTTTGATAGTATTTTTGAATACTATGCGTCTCTATACATAATTTAAATCACTTTTCCTGTTAAGTTTGTGTACTTACATACACTAAAATACGATTTTTCAAGTGTACGAATATTTATTTCCCCCCACTGTGTTTATTTATTTTGGCAACTTGATTAAATTTAATTAAATTGAATTTTTATGTTTCTAATTTTTCATTTGCATAAACTGAATTTTAATTATAAAGAAAAATTTTGTGTACTGATTGCATTTATTGAATTCTTCAAGTGCGATTTAAACCTTCAATAGGCAGAATTTGCAAAAATTCATAGAAATAAATATATTGTATAATACTTCTTACTTTCTTGAAATGGTTTCAGAAATTTCAATTTATGGATATTTCAATGCTTGCCCGCTAAAGGGTTAAAAAAAACTTCTACATCAAGAAAAATTTTAAAATAATTTTGTCTGCTACAAATCTTATAATCGGTATTTAACATGCTTCTGCATGTCCAATCGATATGAAATTTTGTACACTTGCATAAAGTTGGAGACAATGCCTGAACCAATCGACAGAATAAATAATTTTAAAATTTAACATTTTTTTTATTATAAAGAAATATTTTGAAATAATTTTGTCTGCTTCAAATCTTATAATCTATATTTAACACACTTCTACCTATCCAATCGATCTGAAATTTTGCAAACTTGCATAAAATCAGAGACAATTTATGATTCAGTTGACAGAATAAATGAATTTGAAAATTTTTAAAATTTTTATGTATTAAAAAATTTAAAAACACTACTTTTTTAATATTTGAAAACAAAAATTAGAAATTATTGTACATGTGTAACATCAGAGATACTGGATACTTTAGAAGTGTCTTAAATAATATACGTTTAAAAATTACTTGTTAAAGACAACACTTCCAAAGAATCCAGGGTCTCCAATCTTACAGATGTACAATGAATTTCTCATTTAATTTTAGAATATGAAAAAAATTAAATTTTCAATTTTTTTAATATATAAATTTTTTCAATATATAATTTTTTTTAATTATTTATTCTATTAATTGATTCATGCATTACCTATGACTTCACACAAGTGTGCAAAATTTCAGATCAATTAGACAGGTAAAAGTGTGTCAAATATCAGTTATAAGATTTGTAGCTGACAAATTATTTTTTCAATTTTTTGTAATATTGAAAAAAAAATTATTTATTTTTAAAATCATTTATTTTGACATTTGATTCATGCATTGTCTCCAACTTTACACAAGTGTGCAAAATTTCAGATCGATAGGATAAGTAGAAGTGTATTAAATTTCGATTACAAGATTTGTAGCAGACAGACAAACAAACAAACGGACAAGAAGTGAAGTTAAAGAGAAGTGTTTTTTTTTTTAAAGTTAAAAAAAAGTAATTTTAAGCGCATATTATTTAATTGTTAATAAGGACTCTCGAGTTAAAATTAATCTTTCTTGTCAAGTTCTTATCAATCATTACATAGACCTGGTTAACATATCATTTCCATCTCACCATCATTATTTTTTCTCCATTCTTGGTTGTTTGATAGTGGCTGCAAGTGCAGTCCAAACAAATTCATGGTATCCTTGCTTATAATTTGAGAAAAAAAGTATGCATTATTAGCTTATCATACCTTAATACGTCATTAGTGGTACTCATTTGTGCTTATTCTAAACCCTTTTTATTCACGGGAAGACAAGTACAATTTGCTAAAATATTTATTACATTTCAGGTGTCACTTATCCGCATGACATCTGATGGACGTTTGCCCCCTGCGGAGCGTCGTAACTACAAGAACGTCGTAGACGCGTTGGTGCGCATCGTGTCTGAAGAAGGGCTCTTCACGCTGTGGCGTGGCGCCGTGCCTACCATGGGACGCGCCATGGTCGTCAACGCAGCCCAGCTCGCCTCGTACTCTCAAGCAAAACAGAGCCTCCTGCAAACTGGTGAGCTGGGGCTGGCTGTGCATCACGACTCCCGAGTATGTTAGGGTGATGAACCTTTTTCTAGTTATTCATGATCAAACAAATGTTCAATCATAATGAAAAGTTCAATAATTTTATTTAAAAAAATCTCTATTCATTAACTGATCATTTTATTTTTATGGAAACTAAAGAATAGTATAATTGATAATAACGTACATAGGTATAGTTAACCTCAGCGATATTTTCAAATTTAACAATTTTTATTCCGATTGTTCTAAGTCTATTACATCATTTTAATTTCTCCTCTAGGTTACTTCTCTGAAAACATATTTCTGCACTTCTGCGCCTCCATGATCTCTGGGCTTGTAACTACTGCAGCATCCATGCCTGTGGATATTGCCAAAACCAGGTAGGTAAACCCATTGAAATATGCCTCTTATTTTCATTGTTATTATCTGTGTGAACTATTTTTTATTTAATGGTAATTTAGTTAATGGGATTGTTTTAACCATGGATAACTTCTGAGTAAATTTGTGTATCTGGGTAGAATTTTTGGTATAAATATCAAGTAATTTTTCAGGATCCAGAACATGAAGATGATCGACGGAAAACCTGAGTACAAAGGAGCAGTGGATGTACTCACGAAGGTTGTGAAGAAAGAAGGGTTCTTTTCGTTATGGAAGGGCTTTACCCCGTACTACATGCGGCTCGGGCCTCACACTGTCCTAACCTTCATCTTCCTCGAGCAAATGAATAAATTCTATAAACGAGTCGTGCTGGGAGAAGCCGATGCTGCAGGTGGCGGGCTCTGAGAGGTGTGTTGTGTGTACAATAAAGCTAAAGTGCCACTCTGACGAAACTTCATGTTTTTTCTAGTATCAATCGCGAACGCTGGTTGTTATTATGACTTATCTGTAATTTTGTTCTAAAAGGAGCCAGTAAATTTGTTCTGAAAGGAGCCAATGTTCGATGGTTTTGGCCTATAATTTAGTTCAGTGGCAAATAAAGGCACGATTTGATGCTTCTTGGACTAATATGGGTTCGCTCAGGGGGAATTTTGAGCGAATCAGTCGGCAATTATTTTCTTAAATATGAATGTATTATTTTGTCATTGCGTAATCGAAGATGTACCGAGCTCAAATTATATGAAGTTGTTGAAAGCTTTTTGACGACTGAGGACAGCATTTAAATTAACCGTGCAGGTTAGCTGCGTACTCACTGTTAGCCCAATGTTGTGTTGTTGCTAGGCTAGGTATTATTATTTAGCATTAGTAAAAGCTGATGCAATTATTATTTTTTTAGAGTACCTGGGCCATTGTTGATTAAATTGTGTACTTAGTGATGACGACTTCGAACCTCACCTGATCTGAAAGGTAAAGGTTATGTTTTCAGTTGTGTTACGCTCTGAAATGTACAGAAATATTTGTTCTACCTATTTTTTAACGGCCGAACTACTTGCCTCAACATTTATGTCAACATTTCCTAATCATTTATTTATTCATATCGTGATATTCTCAAAAATAAATTTCTGACTTATACTCATCGAGATGGCTTGCCTCACGGAGTTATAATGAATGATTTTCTAGTTAATGTAAAGAAAAAATTGCAAATTCCCATGATCCTAAGAAGTCCGTGGCTGAAGTCGTGCCAATAACCTTCCATGACTCTTAAGATGTCGAAAGCTGAGACGCCGCGTCACAAACGCCGACATGATTAAACTTTTTTTGCTAAGTACTTAAGTGCGTCAAAATTATATATCTGTCTGCATTCATGGATATTGACCTGTGTTAATCACTACTCGCTCTAGTCAACGTATCTCTCCTTGCAATAATTCGATCATGTGTTAGTTGATCTATTTCGTCGTCGCATCTGAGTCTTCCCTAATGTTACAATTGTATGTGTGAACGAAATATATCATGTTTATTCGTTAACTTATGACCATCATGCTGGTTCCATTAAATATTTTTGGGCCCTGGGGAAAACGTTTTGTTAGCTAATAATAGTTAAAAAATTTATTTTGATTTGTTGAAATATAGATGTTAGATGAAAATTTGAAACTCACTTTGTGCATTGGATTGTATCGCTCAAATGGTCACCGCTGAATATGCGTCACGCTCCATTGTGATTAGCGTTGTTGAGCAATCTTCCTTAAGTGAAGTCTTTGCTCCTGTCCGTTTTCTATTCATTTACTCTTCCCAGATTAGGATTTGGCAGTTAAGATGTCATATTTTGACTAAAAGACTCGCATTTTCGTGCACTCTTTGTTGTAGTATGCAAATTATCTGACCAGTAGCAGCAGTGAGTTTTGAAATCAATGGAGTTATACCCTAATAGCCGGACATGTGCTAGTTTCACTCGCATAGTTGTACATATATTTCGGTCGTGTTACAAAGCAGTTCATAGGGGACAGGATTCTTGAAATACTTACGACGATCTGACAGTCGGGTGCAACGGTTGTTATTTGCTTGTGTGAAGACCTAATCGTAACGATCTCTGAGAATCCGTCCTCTAGGTCAGGTAAAGGGTTTGTGTATATTAAAATAAATATGACATGGTTATATTCCTTTCTTTCGTTTTTAACCTGAAACTACTACGTCTGAAGAAATTGCAAAAAAATCTGTATGGACTCGAGATTAAAAATCTCCATATCGTCGACAATAGGCTTGAAACTAAAATTAATACCAAAATTTAATTACGATGTAATCTTTCACGATTTGCTCGTGAATTTTCATACTTAAGGCGATAATTTAGCTAGATATCAACAAGGTGTTTTTGTACTTCAAACCTAGGTAGTAGACATGAGATGGCTTAGCGTATTCTCACACATATATCCCTAAACAAATGACAGATAAAATAAATCAGAAACCGGATGAATTGCTCTATAGATGCCCACATTCACTTATGTTAGCAGGTTTACCATCTCTCACACGGAGAAAGTGTTAAAAGAACGACAATAATCATGAAATATCCATACACCATGTCTTGCCGAACAAGCGCACACACCTCCCAGACCAAAGTTAGGGCAGGCGCACTGACGTTTCCTTCCACTAATGTAATAGACAAAATATAACTAGGAATACAATTGTACGAGCACAAGGAGCGACACTTGCGTAAGGATTATTCAGTCCAACGGTGCATGCAGTCAGTGTTGCAGCAGACGTAGTAAAGCCTCATCTCGTCATCAGCGCGACGAGTTTGCGCCTGGAAAAATACAGCGTCTCTTGTCTTGCAGCGCGGGCACGGGTGGTCGTAGGTGTGCGGTAACGTTGGGTCCTGAAAAACCGATAAATAAACACAAAACTGCAAAGTATCATGTTTACACAATTTCTTGAAGCCGATGCACCGACGCCATGAATAACGGCTTAGATGTCACAATTTCTTGACTAAATCTCGAGGACAGTAGCGAGGAGGACGAAACGGGAAGAGGAAGTATGAGAATTTAATGTGCGATGGGAATGTGAAGTAAACTGTGAAGCACCTGATGGTGTTATGTGAGGAGCATAAGAGAGAAGTATGAATTATGATAAAGGTGATTATTATTCAGGTGAAAGTTATGGTAAGGGGGTGAGGGAGAACAGGTGAAAAGAAGTTGCTGTGATTGCGGGTTTATTGGAGTGAGTTGTTGAAATAAATATGCTTGTCCATATCCAGCAAGGAAACTGACTTTTTTATCCTCATTATACTCTTTTGCTTCCATGATCTTGAGTACAGAGAGAGTTATAAATTCAGATACAATTAGCATGATCAGAATTTAAACAAGACAAACTTCTGGCATGTACATAAGGCCGTGTATATCTTACCGTTATAACTTCAGGGTTGATGTGACGTAACTCATCAATCTCATGCATGAGTTTGTTCACATAAATGCAGTTATTGTCAGCCACCATTTTATAATCGCAGTTACGACAAGCATACATCAGGATCTTCTTTTCCTGTAATTGCATAAATCCAAAAAAATAAGAAAAGAAAAATACTCTATGCTAATTAATCTGAAATTTTTCAATTAATTTCACTGGCATCCACAAATTAAATTAAATAATTATATGATTTATCCAGTTCAACTAAAATATGTATATGTATCATGAAGATCATTGAATAATATAATTAAAATTGCTTTTATAACATGACAGAACATTTTGTAGCTTACAAAATACATAAGATTTTGCAGCTTACTTTATCTTCCTTGGGGTAAAGCATGTTGTTGCACTCTTGACAAAACCTGATGCCAACATAGCCCTGGTTGGTGCTTGCTGACGACTCCCCCACAACAGCTGCATCACCTCCTACACAACAAGTGTTCATAACATCACAGAAATGCTAAAAGGGATGAAAAATGTTAAGTATTTATCATTTGCAGTAAATGTTTATCTCATATTAACTTAAATATTTCATAATAGGAGGCTCAGAGTTATGAGGTTCCCACAGACTACTGTTCATTGAAATTCTACTAGTAAATTAAACAACAAATTTCTGGATTAAAATTTAAGATGACCGGAATGTGAATTGCAGATCATCATGGCTCATAGCAAAATTTATGAAAATTTATTTACATATACAGCTGCAATTAATTTTCTTTCTGAATTCCTAAGAACAAACAATTTACATCTTAAGTAAAGAACACAGGTGTTAATTGAATGGAGGATTGCATGTGTCAACTGCATGGACCTCCTGCTGTTTTACAGTAAAGAAATTAATACTAATATTATACTCACCAGAATAACTCATGCTTAGAAAACAGTTGGCTGAAATAATTTTTTAGCAACCAAACTTATGACATCAAAGCTTCTCTATTGATTTACACTAAGTTTCAGGAATCTGAAATATGGTGAGAACTGAATTACAAGTGAAATAAACATTAAATAAGTATAAAAATATTCATTCAACAGCTTAGACATGACTGCAATGTGTATCATATATGGTACCATCAACTGGGGTGACTTTGGCCACACCTACAACAGAAACAAATGGCACTGCCATTTGTTTCTGCTATAGGTGTGGAATTCTAGAGGGATATTAAATTAACCAGTACACATAACATATTGGAAAGCACTAAGCAGGACCTGAAAGCTTAGAAAGGCCAGGAACTTTACACTTTTAGTCAATTATTTACATATCTTATCCCTTTCCAGAATTCCAGCTGTGATTGGTTGATGGGATTGTGATTTTAGCCCCATTCAGCTTTCCAGCTATGTTGGTTAATGGAAGTGTAATGTTATCTGCTTTCTAGCTGTGATTGGTTGATGGGGATGCTTTCAAGCTGTGATTGGTTGATGGGGGATGCTTTCAAGCTGTGATTGGCTGTGCCCATAACAGGGTTGGCAATGATTAAATCAAAATGATTAAATCATGTGATTAAATCACTTGATTTTTTTATAAAAAAATCATAATTTTTTTTATTTTCTTCATTTTTTTCATATATTTAAAAATATTGAGTGGCAGTCTTTAATATATATTGAGGTATTGTTATTCACGCTTTAGTATAAATGTACTATGAATGACAAATTGGTATATAAACTTGTTGCCTTCAGTGTGTATTAGGTTCCAATAAATGGAATGTTTTTGGTACAGAGGCATCAAGTGTGCAATACATTGTATGTAGCTAGCAGCTTAGCTAATTCTTATAAGGCTATTAGTAGTCTAACTATTTGACTATTTGTTATATATTGATAACAATATACAATTTAAATGTGTTAGCTAGCTTATACAGGATGGGGCAGAACTGATTGAACAGTTTTGAGGCAAAATAAAAGAGTAATGAAGGTACATAAAGAAGAAAGTTTATTTTCTGATGATTAGCATAACATACTATTTAAAATACTTATGTTTTGAAAACAATATCAGGAAGATGGGGTTTGTTAGCTGCATCACACTGTTGGAGTTGTTCTTGGAAGTTTCCTACAGCACGTTCATACATATGGCAAGGTATGGCCATAACCTCTGCTGCAATGATCCGTTCCCTTAGCTGTGGTAGGGTGTGAGGGCGACTTCTGAACCCCTTTCTTTTAGATGTCCCCAAAGAAAGAAATCGCAAATGCTCAAATCATGTGACCTTGCAGGCCACAATAAATCGCCCCTCTGAGACACCAGACCTACGGGAAACATGCGATTCAAAACATTGGGTGACATTCAAGCTGTGCGAGCTGTAGCCCCATCCTGCTGGAACCACACGTCTCTCAATGCTTCATTTTCAACAATGTTTTCCATCATGGGCTGTAAGAAATTTTGCAGCATAGCGATTGGATTTCACTGTTACGGTTACTCCCTCCTCTGAGAATGACTCCAACAGTGTGTTGCAGCTAACGGCCCCCATCTTCCAGAAATTGTTTTCAAACCATAAGTATTCTAAATGGTATGTTATGCTAACCTCTAGGAAAATAAACTTTCTTCTTTATGTAGTACCTCCATTACTCTTTTATTTTACCTCAAAACTGGTCAATCGGTTATGCTCTACCCTGTATATTCATATTGAGAGGTTGAGATTGTATTGAACTTTTAGGCAATTAGAAAGATTTTCCACCCTAATACGAGTATTCTAATTAAAATATTTAATTTCAATCTTTAAATATGTGAATTTGAAACTGGAAACAAAACAATTACAATTATAAGACTATATATAAAATAATTAAATGCAGTGAATGGATATAAAATGTTTGAATTGTGCACATGTTTATTTCAAACAGTGTTAGCTTTTCTCATAACTTAAGTCTCATATAGGACATAAAACTAGTAGATCTATTGATAGTGCTGTGCACTGTGCTATCAGCTACCTATCTGTTATGTGACTCTTCAATGTTTAGGAGATCTGCATTCCTGAAGTGTTTTTGTATATTGAAGCCAGTTAAATGGTCAATATTTAGCTCATTACCTTGCTCCATACAAAGTTTACAAAGCTAATGAATAGACTTATCAATAATTGTTTACCCAAAAATCCCCAAGTGGTGAACACCACCTTGGCCTGTTGGCCATTATTGAAGGCAATAAGTGCCCTTTTTAGCCATCCATTATGATCCATATACTGTTATTGTTAGTAAGCTAATTGCAACATAAAAAATAACACCTCACAAATACAAAAAAGCTGAAAAAATAAAAAAAAAAATCATGAAAAAAGCATTGATTTTTGATTTTTTTTATTATTTTTTTTTAAATCAAAAAAATTGCTAACCCTGGCCCATAAGCCCCGCCCCAAATATGGTATTATTGGTACCGTCAACCGGGGCTACTCGGGACACTTTTGAACGTTTTTCATTCATAACTTCTTACCATGAAACATTTCATAAACAAGTTTAGGCTCATTTTATAGCTCTTTGCGAGGGCTATTGAATGGCATCTTCAAAAAAATTCCATATGCTATTTGTAAGGTGCCAGAAGCAAAAAAAGAGTGTCCCGAGTAGCCCCGTCAAACGGGGCTACTCGGAACACTTGGAATAAAACTTCATTTTAAAATATTTGAAGCATGCAGAGCGTACTCATCAATTTCTAACAGTACTCTGAAGTCCTCCTCTTTCATTGTAGATGATGTAGAGGTAGAATAAATGACATTTTCAGTGATTTTTACTTGTTTTTCCTTTATTGATGATATTACCATAAACATTAATTACCACCAACTGGGGTGACTTGGGCCACATTTTTTATTTTGTTTTGCAAACAAAAACGGGGTCGTAAACGCTGGGGTCATAAACACCAGGGTCGTAAACAAGGTCATAAACGCCTGAGTGACAAGGTCATAAACGCCTGAGTGACCATCGTTTATGACCCCGCTTTTGTTTGCAAAACAAAATCAAAAACGGGGCCAAAGTCACCACAGTTGACGGTACCATATTATTGATGGGATATTACTGTATTATTGATGTGATATTACCCTATCCATGAACATGCCATTGAGCATTTATAACAACCTTGTCCACTGCAAGCTTCATATCAGCAGCCTTATAGCATTTTTTCTGTATCTGTAAGCTCACAGTACGGCTTGTAATTTCACACCATTTTAATTGGGCTGAATGAATTTACTATAAAAAATATAACTCAGTACTCACTGCAGTGAGTGACAGAGAGCGCATTTTCTCGTCAATGAAAACTTGAGGTCAGGATTGGCGATTTTTTTTATTTTTTTAAAAAAATCAAATAAATAAAAAATCAATGATTTTTTTTATTTTTTCATGATTTTTTATTTTTTTGATTTTTTCAGCTTTTTTTCTTTTTTGAGGTGTTATTTTTTATGTTGCAATTAGCCTACTAACAATAACAGTATATGGATCATAATGGATGGCTAAAAAGGGCACTTATTGCCTTCAATAATGGCCAACAGGCCAAGGTGGTGTTTACAATTTTGGGATTTTTGGGTAAACTATTATTGATCAGTCTATTCATTAGCTTTGTAAAGTTTGTATGGAGCAAGGTTATGAGCTAAATATTGACCATTTAACTGGCTTCAATATACAAAAACACTTCAGGAATGCAAATCTCCTGAACATTGAAGAGTCACATAACAGATAGGTAGATGATTGCACAGTGCACAGCACTATCAATAGATCTACTAGTTTTATGTCCTATAAATCTACCAGACTCTACCTTCTATACACACTGACTAGTAAAAATAAAAGAGTAATGGAGGTACATAAAGAAGAAAGTTTATTTTCCTAGAGGCTAGCATAACATACCATTTAGAATACTTATGTTTTGAAAACAATATCTGGAAGATGGGGGCTGTTAGCTGCAACACACTGTTGGAGTCGTTCTCAGAGGAGGGAGTAACCATGACAGTGAATTCCGATTGCTATGCTGCAATGTTGCAAGATTTCTTGCAGCCCATGATGGAAAACATTGTTGAAATGAAGCATTGGGTGACGTGTGGTTCCAGCAGGATAGGGCTATAGCTCACACAGCTCGAATGTCACTCAATGTTTTGAAACGCATGTTTCCCGGACATCTGGTGTCTCTGAGGGGTAATTTACAGTGGCCTGCGAGGTCACCTGATTTGAGCATTTGCGATTTCTTTCTTTGGGGACATCTAAAAGAAAGGGGTTCAGAAGTCCCCCTCTCACCCTACTACAGCTAAGGGGAGGGATTATTGCAGCAGAGGTTATGGCCATACCTCGCCATATGTGTGAACATGCTGTAGGAAACTTCCGAGAACGACTCCAACAGTGTGTTGCAGCTAACAAACCCCATCTTCCTGATATTGTTTTCAAAACATAAGTATTTTAAATTGTATGTTATGTTAATCATGAGAAAAATAAACTTTCTTCTTTATGTACCTCCGTTACTCTTTTATTTTGCCTTAAAACTGTACAATCAGTTCTGCCCCACCCTGTATAAGCTAGCTAACACATTTAAATTGTATATTGTAATCAATATAAAACAAATAGCCAAATAGTTAGACTACTTATAGCCTTATAAGAATTAGCTAAGCTGCAGTGCTAGCTACGAACAATGTATTGCACACTCTTGATGCCTCAGTACCAAAAACATTCAATTTATTGGAACCTAATACACACTAAAGGCAACAAGTTTATATACCAATTTGTCATTCATAGTACATTTATATCAAACCATGAATAACAATACCTCAATATAAATTTAAGACTGCCACTCAATATTTTTAAATATATGAAAAAATCAAAAAATAAAAAAAATCATGATTTTTTATAAAAAAATCAAGTGATTTAATCACATGATTTAATCATTTTGATTTAATCATTGCCAACCCTGCTTGAGGTCACAGACAAACGGACAGACAGACAGACAGACATGGCAAGCACAATAGTGCTAGTTTATGCACCATGCGCTCGTTTATATGCCATTTTAATTGGGTCAAGTGAATTTACTAT